AAATAAAATAAATAATAAAATAAACAGCAGCAGCTGTTGCTCAGACCGGAAGTGCAGTGTGTCGTACCGGAGCCGCTCGGTGACCGTTGTCATGATGTCCGCTTCGTGGAAACTCTGCTCAGTCTTCTCCGTTCCCCGCGTGCGGTTTCTCCACTCTGTTTACTCTCCGCTCCTCTGACGGCTTATCAACCCAGCGCGTGCGTTTCGATTTCCTGCGAAACTGTCAAATTAAAAGCACGGAATCAAATTCAGTGCCGAGCGCCGTTCCTCATCATCATCATTATTATAGCATTGTCGCTGCTAGTTCACATTTTGTGAAAAACGTTGTAAAAAGCGGAGAAAAGAAGATTATCCGATTGATATTCTCGCTGGGCTTTTATTTTGAAGCAGCCGTAAGCAGTGCGGCTGTGGAGCTCCGCAGAAACGAAACTTACCGGCTCAGCGTGAAGCTGCTGACGCCTCGGTGCGAGTTCGCGGGAACAGCGCGTGCCTTCCGTTTAGCGCTGCAGCAGAAGTGTTGGTGGTCTCTGCTGCTCAGTCAAGTCCCGCTCACTTCTCGTCCCACATTAAAACACTTTCCGCCGTCAGTCTCTGTGTCAGTCTGTCTGTGTCTGTGTGTCTGTGAGCGTCAGCTCCTCGCGCTGCAGACAGCTCGTGCACACCTGGAGAAAACTGATTTGCATTTAAATGATGGCGGGTGTCACGTGGATGCTGACCGTTCTGTGTGAGTTTTATTTTATTTATGTTTGTTTTTATTTCGACTCACTCTCTCAGAATGGCTGCGGAATTCCCGGCTCGTTATAGAATTCCAGGCTCGTTATAGAATTCCAGGCTCGTTATAGAATTCCCGGGTGTGTCCGTGAGTCTCCAGGTCAGAGTGCAGACCTTCCAGGGCCTGAGGGATCCGGGTCTCCTGCAGGTGTTTGTTGTGTTTCTGCTCGTTAGTTTGTCTCATGACGATCGCGTGTTTACGTTAAAGTGGGACACGCCCCACACTGAGAGAGAGAGATAAACAAACAGAAAGCCATCCTTGAGGCTTTAAAGGAAAGTATGCTCATATTAATGATAATAAGGTACTGAAAATATGTATAATTATTATTGTTATAGTAATATTAAAAAAAGACTAATACTTGTGTCTGCACAGTCTTCTTGTTTTTATTTTTTGTGATAAATTATTTCTATAAGTGTTTGTTTCTATTTCCACTTTAGTTTTTGTTGGGCAGCATTCAGACTTTGATGGATTTTAGTATTTAGAGTCATTGATGTTTTATTGGACATTAACAGCATCACTCAGCATCTTTTTGTGGCTTAAAGCTGCTGATGAGACTTTGTG